TGAGGTCGACCGGATCCTATATGAGGTCGACCGAATTCTATGTGAGGTCGACCTAATCCTAACTGAGGTCGACCGGAAAGTGCAAGTCACCGTGACATGCATGTCACCGTAGGCACACCCTAACATTTAATATCGTTAATCAATTACAAGGTAGCAGTGTGATTATCGGTAGGTTGAAATAGTTTTCGGAGTAAGCGATAATCGAATAGACGATTAATGATTGACCAAAAACTAATAGAATATAAATCTCTATGTTTCCCTCCCCCAAAACAATCATATCCCTAAAAAAAATCCATCCACCTTCGAAAAAACAATCTCCTCCCCCTCCCGACCCACTTCTTCTTTCCTCAATTTGCTCCTAGCGCGAGCCTTAAAATTGAATGAGATAAAGAGTACAGTTGATTTTGCAATTGAAACATAGGATTAAGATTGGATTGAGAAGATACAATGACTTATGCTAGGGGAAATATAGCAAAGACCACGCCCAATTTCTTCCATCAGTGGTTTCCTTCACCAAGTTCGCACTCATCACTCTTTTCCTTCCTCTATTTGCTTTATTCTCTCCGTCCCAATAGGAACAACAAGCCAAACCCAAATCAATGATTAAAATATATAAAAAACACATACATATGTAAGAAAAAATCTACAAAAATGCACGATTGAAAAAAGAAGAAGATGATCTTTTGTTAATTCGATTATTGATCAATTATTTTTGTCTAATCTGGTCGAATCATTTGCTAAACAATTAGTCTATTAAGTATTAACCTACATAATAACCAATAAGCAATAAGCAAAAATAGCTTAACGATTAACCAATAATCGAATAAACAATTACTGTTATAACCGAATCGAACATACTAACAACCCTAACCAAACTAGCCTTAGTAGTTACCCATAAGCTACTTATTTATGAGATTCGCATCTTGATTTCTAGGCAATCCAAGCAATCTGTCGACAACAGAAACAAAATAACACCAAGTGTGAATCTGATAAGGTCCAAGGTGTTACAACTTACAATGCCTAGATACGAGCCAAACAAGAAAATCATGCAGATAATCCACAGAATAAATGCCATACCTCAGATCTAGAAATTCACTTTTAATATAAAATAAAAAATATATTTTATTCTAATTATACCCCTGAACATATTAATACCTCTAATTTCAAACTATTTCACCCCCACCCATTTGTCGAGATGGAATGTGTTAATTAATTAATTAACAAACACACTAATAATAATAATCATTAGCAGATAAAAAATTAAAAAAACCCAAATCTCACCCGTTTCCGATTCCAATCACAAAACTACCTGGATCATGATACCTTCCCCGTAAAAATTTCCTCCCACGCGCCGGCATCTCAACGAGTCAAAAATTCTTCCTCTGAGTGGGAATGGAGAGCTAGAGCTAGAGCTAGAGAGAGAGAGAGAGAGAGAGAGAGAGAGAGAGAGAGCACATCAAAACCCAATCCAACCCCACGACGAATCCTTGTCTGTCCTCTGTCCTCCAATCTCTCTCCCACTTCCCCACCACCACCGCCGCATACGGCGCCAAAAGAAACTACAACCACAACCCGCCGCCGCCCCCCTCACCACCACCACTTTCCGTTCTTTTCTCTGTCCTCCTTCTTCCGGCGAGAAACAACTACCGTACTGCTGTTTTCAACCCAGAGAAGATAGAATGCCTTTTCCCCACTCCCTGCTTTACTCCACTCTGCCCCACCACCACCACCATCCAAATTTCATCAATCGAATTTGAAAAAGCAAACTCCTTTTCTCTCTCTCTCTCTCCGTCTTTTTGACTACCCAGTTCCCAGAAGCTGCTTTCGGGTCTCCCCTTCTGCAATGGCGATTCCAGCAGCAGGAACTGACCCAGCAGCAGCGGTGGGTCACTGGGATTCGGCGGTCAAGAAGATGAAGCGGTTCAACCCAGTCGAGCCATCTGTAGGAATCCTCGGCTTCTCCTTATTCGCTCTCTTGCTCTTCGTATTCTGCTTCTCCTCCCGCTCCGGCGACCACCGGGCCGTTTCTCTGGGCTCCTGGCCCAATTACCAATCCGGGTCGATTCACCGGGTCGAGTTTCTGGACGACGATGGGAACAGCGGATGCGATGTGTTTGATGGCAACTGGATTTGGGATGACAGCTACCCGCTCTACGAAAGTAAAAATTGCGCCTTTATTGATAGTGGGTTTCGTTGCTTGGAGAATGGCAGGCCTGATAGCTTCTACACCAAGTGGCGCTGGCAGCCCCATCGTTGCAATTTGCCCAGGCAAAATTCTGTCTCTTTCCATGCCTCCCTGAATTTTCCTTTTTCCCCACGGCAAAAGTTTGAATTTTTTTTGCTGCTCAATTGACAATGACAGATTTGACGCGAAGGTGATGCTGGAGAAGTTGAGGAACAAGAGGCTTGTGTTTGTGGGCGATTCGGTAGGAAGGAACCAGTGGGAGTCGCTGCTCTGTATGCTAGCATCTGCGGTTCCTGAGAAATCAGAACAAGATTCGGATTCTGAATTGATTTATGAAGTGAATGGGAACCCGATTACGAAACACAGAGGGTTTCTGGCGTTTATGTTTAAGGAGTACAATTGTACTGTCGAGTATTACAGAGCGCCATTCCTGGTTTACCAAGGGAGGCCTCCTTCAGGAGCCCCAGCAGGGGTGAGGATGAGTTTGAGGTTGGATAAATTGGATTGGACTTCACGGGGGTGGCGGGGTGCCGATGTTTTGATCTTCAACTCTGGGCACTGGTGGAACTATGAGAAGACGATTAAAGTGTAAGTTAGTATGTATGGCATTGTGTAGCTTGAATTTGTTTATGGGGGTGCCATTTGTTCTGCATTTGCTGTTTGAATGTGTGTACATAGTACTCTATACGTGACTGAAATGTTTGCGTAGTTGTGGATTTAGTGCGGTTGGAGATGATCACTATCGAGGCAGGAGCTCATTTAGTCAGAACTTATCGTCTGTGTTTGCATATTGTTTATCCCATATTGCGAAAGTTCACTACTTGCAGTGTGAAGCGATCATATGAACTTGAAACATAGAGGAGGTGGATTGTTTGCTTATGTTATATGTTGAAGATAACTATGAATGTGTCTGAGCTTCTTACGGTTTGTTCCTGTTTGTTTGTCCCAACTTTTCTCAGTCTTTGTGCAAACTTTCGCCTATGAAGTTGAGCACTCTTCTCCCGTCTTGCAATGCGAATCATATCAGAGTTTAGAGCCATTTATGCATGCCTTTGCCTACTAAAGCACTTTGGTAGAAGAGCTTCCCTAACCATAGAATTCTGTCATTTGTTTTAGGGGTTGCTATTTCCAGGAAGGAGAGGAGATAAAAATGGAGATGAGTGTTGAAGATGCGTACCGGAGATCGATAGACACGTTGATGGACTGGATACACAGAGAAGTAGACATGAACAAGACTCAAGTTTACTTCCGAACATATGCTCCTGTACATTTCAGGTTTCTTCTTGTTCACATCTCATATCATCATCTTGCTGTGTCCTCTGTTGTCACTCGAGTTGTTCATTTTGGCTCATTGTGGACAACTATAGATAATTATGCAACCCTTTGCAAACTGAACATACTGCAAATGTGCTTTTTCTAACGAACTCAATTCTGGTTTGCCAACCGATTTCGGTAGGTCTGTGCTTAAATCTCTCATCAATTAGTCAACTAGAGAAACACAACATCTGGTTGATTATGATACAAGATGAATTCTGTGGCCCCATTGTCTTTTTTTCCAACCCGAGCCAAAGCCCTCATCAGAATTCCGAAAACTTTCAGTAACTTGCTTGAGGAATATCAAATCTCTCCACAGTGCCTTTGGATGAGTTTCTGTACTTACTTTCCTGCACTACTCTCTACTTAAATTTCTATTCTTTCAACTGATATGCAGGGGCGGTGACTGGAGGACTGGTGGTACTTGTCATCTGGAACAGCTTCCTGACCTGACCGCATCCTCCAATTCATCAGATTATCGATTTAAACTGCTACTCGATACTCTCTCAGCCCATTCCAATGAATCATTAGCAACGAAACTGAGCGTTTTGAATGTTACGCCCTCAGCAGCAAAGAGGAAGGACGGGCATGCGTCCCTGTACTATCTGGAGCCAGGGGTAGGCCCTGCCGCAATCAACCGTCAGGATTGCAGCCACTGGTGCCTCCCTGGTGTTCCCGATTCTTGGAACGAGCTCCTCTACGCGCTTCTACTCAAACGTGAGGCTGTTCGCCGAGTGAACCCTTCAGAAATTTCCCAAGCCCCACTCTAATTGGCAATATCTATGGGAGTTGCCGAGTTGGTTAAGCCTTCTGGCATCATTTTTTTGTGGGGTGAAATGATTCTTCTGATGCTCTGTTGTCAACTACTGAGTACTGACAGCAGCTTGGGCATGAGATGAATCCGGCAATTGTTATAGCGCATCGAATGTGATGGACTGCTGGTGTTGTTCATATAGCTGGTTAGGCACATTATTTAACAAGAATGGCTGAGGATATAGGTTGTAGATAAATTCATAGTTGAATATAGAAGCATCATTTTGTTTTGTTATGCCTGGAGAGCAAATTGTACAAGAATTGAAGACCTGTTGGGAATAGGGGATATATATGGTGGTGCCATCTTTGTATAAACAGAACAGCACTGCACCCGTATATCTTGGAAGGTTGCTTGCTGTGGTCGTGGCTTGGGAAACTTTTTACTATTTAGAGAAGTTCATGGATCATTGATGTCAACGTACAAAACAAGAAATTTTGTCTAACATTAACAAAGGAAGTAGAACATGTGGATGTGGAATCCTGGTAGCTTTGTGGGAAGTCAAAAGCACGGCAGACATTCCTTTCTTGTAGATCACGCCACTGAGACCCATCTGTAAGAACTTATTTTTGTGATCTGAAATAAATGTTTCTTAATTAATGAGTCGACATTGTAGATTGTAGCAAAATGCTGCCTGTCCAACCATTAATTCAAATCTTTGGAAAGTTAGAATGGAATCAATTCAAATATTTTCTTATGCAGGTAGCTACAATTGGCAAAACTACTGATCAGAGACCGCAAAAAAGAAGAAAAGAACAGCTAACTAGATGGATGATGATCATCGGTCGACCAACAAGTTGTGTCTCCTTGTGGCGGAAAAAGGCGGCGGTAAGCTAGCTCTCAACTCTCAAGTCTCAATCAGCTAGCTTTCTCATTGTGTCTTTCATCTCCCTGAAGTTTCTCCACAAGTATCTTCCGCTGGCCATGTCCACGAACACCCAGAACCCATTCTGAATCACCTGGAGACAAAAAAAAAAAAAAAAAAGAGGACAAAATAAAATCAGAAAAATGGTAATTTCTTAATGGAAATCGCATAATTTAGTAACCATTAATATATCAATTTACCTTGAACATATTGGATTCCTGCTGCTTCTTGGCATCAGCCGTTGAATCGTTGGAGAAGTCGGCCTCGGCGAAGGCATCGGTGGAGGCGTTGACGGTGGTCCAGGCGAAATAGCCGGCCAAAGCCGCCGAGAAGAAGACCAAGATGAAGCGCAGAGGACACATGGTGGTAAACAAATTTCTCTTGCTTTGAGCAGGAACAAGAAGAAGGGTTTTGAATGGATGTGGGGTTTCTTCTGGGTTTAAATCAAAGTTTCTTATCTTTTGAGTGAGATTCTGGGGGTTGGCGATTATGGAAGGAGATGACAAAAAAAAAAAAAAAAATTGGGCTGGCTGGCTGCTGGTCTGTTGATTCTGTTTTATAAACAGGTGGTTGATGCCAACGAAGAAGAAGAAGTAGTTGGGGCTCTGGTTGTGTGGAATGGCGTCTAATGTCAACGAAGTGAGGGGGTTGATTTTATAACCTACTCAAAATATTGACCGTTTCCTTTCTGGATTGAAGGGAACCTGCTCTGCTCCACGTTGTAATGGTCTATACTTTTCTTTTTGGTTTGTGGATGGAAGGGAGGCCGGGCAGCAGATAGGATTGGTTACTGACCTATCAGTATTAAATCCGGATCGTAGATCTAGGGATGACATTATTATATTGTTGGGCTGCACGTGGAGTGAGGAGAGGCATTTTTGTCCGATTTTTGAAATTTGATTTCTTTCCTTTTTTTTTTATTTTTTCCAGCATTTATATGTGTTGTTTTTTAATGGAGGAAAGAGAAAAAGCAGACTTTTCTCTTCCTCTCTCTTTTCTCTTTCTTCATTTCTCTCTTCCAAAATTTTTTTTCCAGATCTAAATCTCATTTCTTCTCTTGTTCTTCATTTTTTTCTCCAACAATCGATGAATAAATTGCAGCCTCCCACTTCAAATTCGGTGAGGCTCCAAATCCTTCTACTCTCAAGCTGCTCCTTCCTTCTGTTTTTTTCTTTTATTGGCCTCAAAATCGATGATGCTCCGTATTGTCAAAGAGGGGACAGATCTATATGAGTTGAGTTTGCATCTTTTGTGTTTTAGTATTTGTTTGTGAATTAATTCCGATCTTCTTCCTCTTTTTCTTTCTTTTTGCATTCGGTGTTCTTCATTGCGGAGGAGTAAATGACAGGAGACAGAAGACAAGTTTTTTTCCTCTTCCTCCTTCTGTTTCCCCTTCTTTGAGAATATATATTGAGATTACCACACTATACCATATGGTAATGTGTGTCGATACCATATGGTATTGACACATTACCATATGGTAATGTGTATATACCACACTATACCATATGGTAATTTGTATATACCATATGGTAATGTGTATATACCATATGGTAAAGTGTATATACCATATGGTAAAGTGTATATACCATATGGTAAAGTGTATATACCATATGGTAATGTGTGTATACCATATGGTAAAATGTATACCATATGGTAAAGTGTGGTAACGAAATGTATTTTTATGGATATCGTGTTTTACTATGGTCGTAAAAGGGTTGTAATTATATTTATATTATTTTTATATGGTTTTAACTTCTCATACCATGTGGTATTGTATGGTAATTACAATTAATTTGTGTTCATTCGATTAACCATGTTCTACTATGTTGGCATTGTATGGTAGTTAGATTTACCATATGTTGATATTACCACACTATACCATATGATATTGGGTGGTAACGAAATATATATTGATATTACCACACTATACCATATGGTATTGGGTGGTAACGTAATATATATTGATGTGACAAATTTTTTCATACCATATGGTATGGTCAATACCAGTCATTACCATATGGTATAGACTGGTAATAACTGACAAATTTTTTATGTCTGAAAAATATCAAACTGGATATCATTTTGAAGCGCACAATTAATCTGATCTAACTGTGCAAAAAAAATTAAATTCCGACTTAAAACGAGTGAGAAATCGTCCGTTAAAGATTAAGAGAAGGAAAATTAAAGGTTGTTTGAGGAGAGAGAAGGCGCTGATGTGATCTGGTCAGCGTCAGCGCGTCAGAGACATCATTAAATAGGGGGGGGGTGCAATTTTACCTTAGTGCCCCTCCGTATTTTTTTTAAATAAAAAGAAAAAGCTGACACGTGGGAGCCAGGGGAAGGGGTTACTGATGGTTACTGAGGTATTGGTTACTGAGGGGATCCGCTCCCGGGAGGCCGAAACCGGACAGGGATCCGAAAGGAATCCGAAATGGAAATAGTCAATCCATTTAGGTAGGTGTTGACGTGTTGTCATGGGTAGGGTAAGGTGCATTTTTCCAAACTTCACGATAATATTTAGCTGATGATAGCTTAATTATTAGGGGTGGTATTTGGTCGGTAACCGGTTATCGACTTTACCGATTTTTGGTATACCGAGTGTGGGTAAGTGGGAATCGATTACCGATACCGGTTTGTAAATGGTTTACTGGTTACCGAATTACCGGTAAACGGTTACAAATCGGTTTTACCGACTTATCGTGAAGAATAGCTGCGGACGGTTTTTCGGTTCGGTTTACCGGAAAATTACCGAACCGAATTTCTGGGCAATGGAGTGATGTTGTAATATTTTGATTTTTCTGAGTTTTTTTCTTCATTTTTGTAATTAATAAATTATTATTAACTCTTATTTATAATATTTTTGAGGCCTATACTTACTTACTTCCATTCATGTATGTAATATTTGTGAATAATGAAGTATATGTTATTAGTTAATGCCTTAACTGGTCCGGTATCGGTATTATCGAATTATCGTCGGTATTTACCGATACAGGGCCCGGTAAACCGAGCTTCCCCATTTGACCCTCGGATACCGATACCAGTGGTTACCGGTTCGGTAAAACGGTAAACCGTTTACCGACTTACCGTTTGTCACCCCTATTAATTATTACTAGGTCAATGGTGTATTGTTCTGATCTTTAGTGCACTAGTTGTGTTGAAGCTAAGACTACTCGGATGTCTTTTTCTTCTAGTCCTACTGTTATTTCTGAGCCATTTCGCTTGATTCATACTGATCTTTGGGGGTCCGAGTCCTGTCACGTCTCGGCATGGGTACAAGTACTTTTGCTCTATTTGTTGACCTGCTACTCGTTACACTTGGGTCTATTTTCTGCGTCTCAAGTCTGACCTCTTGATTGTTGCCATCGAATTTATTAATATGATAAAGACCCAATTCGATAGAACAGTCCGTGTAGTTCGTTCTGACCCTGGGGGAGAATTAATCTCCACTCCACTGCTCAATCTCTATAGTTCCCTTGGCATTCTCCTACCCCCACATGTTTGTCGACTTCCTCCGACTCCTTGCCATCCCCATCACCACCACAGGCTACTCCTCTTCGTCGATCACTTCGCTCCACCTTCGGCCAACCACCAACTCGCCTTCAGGATTATTTTACATTCCAGGTGGATCCTATCTCTGTTCCAACTCGGTATTCTTAGGCTAAGGGTGATCCTCGCTGGGACGGAGCTATGACCGAGGAGATTTCTGCTCTCCACGCAAATGACACTTGGGATATTGTGCCTCGGCCTCCTCCTGAGATTCCGGTGGTGGGTAGAAAATGGGTTTATGCGTTGAAGGTTCTTCCCGATGGTACTATTGAGCGGTTTAAGGCTCGCATGGTGGCTCAGGGGTTCACTGAAGAGTATGGTGTGGATTTTGAGGAAACCTTTGTCCCAGTTGCCAAAATGATGACTGTTCGTTCCCTTCTGGCTGTGGTGCTTTTCGTGGTTGACCTCTCTATCAACTAGGTGTTAAGAATGCCTTCCTTCATGGTGAGTTGAAATATACTGTCTACATGGAGTGCCCTCTTGGTTACGCCGGATACGGTGTGTTTACTTAAGCGCCCTCTTTATGGGTTGAAGCAAGCTCCCAGAGCTTGGTTTGATAAGTTTCAGTCAACTATTTTGGGGTTGGGCTTTACTCAAAGCCTTTATGATCTCTCTTTGTTCACTCGGCATACCTCGACAAGCATTGTGGTTTTATTACTTTACGTGGATGATATGATTGTCTCTGGTGATGATGTTGATGGGATTTCTGCCTTGACTAAGGGTCTGCATGACTCCTTTCACCTCAAGGAACTCGGCTCCCATTCGTACTACTTAGGCCTTGAGGTTACTCGTTCCCGAGAGGGGATTCTCATTAGTCAGCAGAAGTATATTGCCGATCACTTTGACTCGACACGGTTTGGTGATTGTACTCCGGTGTCTACTCCTATTGAAATCAACTTAAAGTTGGGTAAAGAATCTGGTGACTTACTGGCGGATGGGGGAAAGCAGTATCGCAGTATAGTTGGTAGTCTGATCTACCTGACGTCCACCAAACCTGATCTCTCGTATGCTGTTCAGATTGTCAGTCAGTTCATGGCTGCGCTTCGTACTGGTCACTTGGCAGCTGTTCATCGCATCCTCCGCTATCTTCAAGGCACTCGGACTGTTGGATTATTATTGTCGTCAGGTGGTTCCTTCGTTCTTCAGGCATTCTCCGATTTAGATTATGCTGGGTGCATTGACACCCGTCGCTCGACTACTGGCTGGTGTGTTCGATTGAGTGCTTCTCTCATATCCTGGCGTTGTAAGAAGCAGGATCGCGTTTCAAAGTCTTCCACAGAGGCCGAGTATCGTGCCATGTCTGACGTCACATCGGAGTTGGAGTGGTTACAACGCCTCCTAGGTGACTTTGGGGTGAGTTGTGCAGTTCCTATGGAGTTTTATGTTGATTATACCAGCGCCATTCGCATTGCTACGAACCCAGTTCTTCATGATCTGACTAAACATATCGAGGTTCATATTCATTACATCCGCAAGACTTGCGTGTAAAAGCTTATGGGTTCCATGTATAACAGATGAAGTTGTTGATAAATGCAACTTGAAGTTGACAATCATTCAAAACCAGTTCTTCGTTTGACAATAAATTCTTAGTACACTCAGTGCGAAGAAAAGATACTAAGCCGACTCGAATTATTCAATTAATTGAAATTGACTCAAAATGGAATAATTTAAAATTCTCTAACTTAAATTGATCCATCCAAATTTTCGGTTGCCAAACGAGTCAATTTAGTCCAATTGTCTCAAAACAGAGATGGAGTCAAATTATCCACTACCGCTCCTCATCAAAATAACTCCTAAGTTACATCTCTAAAGAGGTTATCACCATAAGTCCGTAACCACCTATCCATTAACCGTCCATTCAAAAGCTTACAACCCCTTCCCAAATCTAACAGTCTAAGTCTTAAGAGTAGTTTGAGAAGGAGCCTAAACAATCAAATCATCTCTCCAAATCAT